CTCTTATCTATCCAGCAGAGGAGCTCTGCATAAGTTCAAAGACCCTTCGAAGATAATGGAAGACAATAGTTGTCAAATCCTCACCAACGGTGATCAGTGCTACTGAGAGTAGATTGTCCGCTTCATTTCCCAACGAAATGCCAATCGAAAGCGGAAGTGATGCGAACCTACTTGGAAGTAACAACTAAGTGAAAGAAGAGTCAATGGGCAAATTTTGTGGAGGAAGGACCTAAAACTTCAGAAGTTGCGAGACGATGCTCGTTAAAGCTCCAACAAGCATCCACCCGATTCAAGCAGCATGAGGCATTTGAGAGACTAGCGCAGTAAGGATGGTCTTTTCCTTCATCTGGTGGATCCGCAGGAACCAACAGGGATCAACACAACTCAGCCAACCCCACACTAGAGTCAGAGTCATTGGCGAGTTGAAGCAGCATGGCGGATCAAAGGTTTGACTACTCAAAAACAGCAGCGGAGAGCAGCTGGGAGCCAAGAGGCGTATTGTAGCTGGAGCAGAAGATTGAAGACTCAGCAAAGGCGAGGAGTTGCAGTGTCGACAAAGGCTTCAATGAGGACGTCGAAGGAATAAGTGAGGGAGAATGTCACGGACAAACTTCTAAACAGGATGTTTGATGTAATGCTTATGTATGTCCGTGTCTTTTGGTATGTTCATGCCTTGTACAACATGTAGAGGGACGACCGAAGGCGTAATAGTCCCATTTTAGTTAAGTTGGTGGCCTCTTTAGGCTTGTAAATAAAGGTTGTGTCATGTGGACATGTGTGAGAGATTTTCGGTCTGTAATGGACCATTTTACCCTTTGTTGTGTAACTGTTCAGAGTTTGTAAAGTCTGTTTATAATTTGCATTGTCTATGAAGTGTTTTTCGGAGATGTTTGCTTGTGGATCCCGATTGAGGCGTTCTCTCTAACCTGTTTTCTCTTTTGTTGGTCCTAAGGGACAATGGGAGGGTTCGGGGAGGCTGACCTTTGCGGACGGACACGCAAGGGTGCCGCACGACTTAGGCAAAACCAGCTAAGTCCGTGACACGACGGAGAACCAGACCGCACACCAGCCCTCTCTCTCTATTTCCCCCCATACTGATCCAACCAGAAACTGGCATGGGTCTGGGAAATTAATCATGGTATGCCAGTATGTACCAGATCCATGCTGATCCAACCAACTTCCTCGAGGGGTCTGGTACCAAAATTTAAAACCATGGTAGCATTCATACTAGCTATCAGAATTTATTTCATTGTTGGTTGTCAGCTTTGATTTTTCTATTATCATTCTTGTTAGAGGCTTTATTTGACTTCCCTTGGTCTTGGCAAAAATCTTTCAATATTTCCTCCATGGTGGGTACTAGTGTAAGTTTTCCCCTTGGCTTCCTTTATCTTTCAACAAATTCGGGTAAGTCAAACTTTCTCTGATGTTTTGTTCCTGTAGATCATAATAATTCATATTAACTTATCAATTTGTGATTGCTGATTTGCTGCAGTTCTAACATGTGAACTTGTGACTGTATCTTTACTAATATTTGACAAATTATGGTAATATAAAATGGAAATTTTCGTATGTTTAGTACTTTTGCAGTATTGACGGTTGTTCTTTTCATCCTTGTTTTGAAGGCAAATTTCACCTACTATGAAAATGCATTGGTACATGTTGCTGAATAAGATTCCTTTCCATTTTCAAGTTGTTTCTTTTCACATGGATCAGAACTTATAACTCCTCCGGTCTCTCCATTCATTTATGAAATTTATAGGTCTATTATAATTTTTGTTTGCAATTGTGTTGAAGTTGGCATTGCATAGGTTGGTTCCTTTTGCTACTTCAGCCACTACTAGTTGTTCAAGTGTTTTCTCGATAAGCATAACCTGCCTATCATCTGGTGCTTTATTATTTTCATGCCTTTTTTCGTGATCAATAATTGAATTTATCATCATCTATCAATTTGAAGTTATTTTTTTATGAAACAGAATTTTTGTCTTTCTGATTTCTGGCCATTTAAATTGCAGTGGTTGTATCTCAACAGAAATTTCCTTTGTCATTGTCTTAATCTTTGATGTTATAAAGGTTTTTTCTTTTTTAAAAAATTCTGTGTGTGTGTGTCATCTCCACTAGATTTTCATTTGATTTCTAAAATTGTGCCTTACATGAGCAATGACTCTGATAATGATTCTTTGACCTTGTGCAGGCAGGAGCAGATGCCTGCTTTGTGGAGGCACCAAGGGATGATGATGAACTGAGGGAAATTGGCAGGCGCACAAATGAGTACAGAGTGTGCAACATGATCGAGGGTGGAATTACACCTTTGCACACTCCTCAGGAGCTCCAAGAAATGGGCTTTCATCTCATTGTTCACCCCCTCACAACTCTCTATGCATCTACCCGTGGATTAATTGACATCCTCAGGGATCTGAAGGAAGCAGGAACCACTAGAGGCCAGCTCCACAAGCTTGCCACGTTTGAGGAGTTCAACAAACTGATTGAATTGGATTCATGGTTTGAACTTGAAGCTCGGTACTCCAAAACCAGAAAGTTCCGCTCACAAGTGAAAAACTAACAAATCATGTTGGTGATGAAAACCGTAGTTTGTTAAGCTTTCTGAGGAAACTTTCTACACTTAACTAATTGACCAGATCAGGTAAGCTGGTGTTTTTCTATGACAATTTCTTAGCTTTACTATGTCTTTGTGCTTAAGCTAGAAGGATGGATTTTTTCTTGCCTCATGATGTCCCCATTAGGGATGATGATGAGATGCTTTAGTGGTTCAGAAATCCAAGTCAACGTGGCCATCTTCGAGATCCCAATGCCACCACACAATTAGGATACCGAGTGGGCTTGAGGCGATCGGCCAATAGGCTTGCGGCGATCTCACCTTATCCACGCTCCCTCCACTATTTCTCGATTCCCTCCGGCGTCAATTATCTGCTCCACCTCATCATCTATTAACCCACATGCTTAATACATTACTTTCCCTCTCCCACACTACCACATCACTAACAACCCCTCCCCCCCAAGGCTCGTGCAGGTGAGCGTGAGGAAGTAGGGGGCGAGGGAAGACGAGCTGCATTGATCGGCCTTGCTGCTGCCCTCTTCACCACGGCGGCTGCCACCTCCTCGGCGAATGCCGGCGTCATTGATGAGTACCTCGAGAGAAGCAAAGCTAACAAGGTCTCTTACTAGTTCTGCCTCTCTTGATTATTCAAAAGCTAATAAGGACAACAAGATTAAGCAAACGCATTGTTTTGTTGTTGGTAAAGAAAGTCGATATTGAGGATTTGGATGGGATTCAAGATTTGATTTCTCTTTTGTAACGCCTAATTTAATTATTCTTGGAGAGAAATAACCGTAAATATGCTTCTATTAGATGAATATTGGATTTCAGAAAACCCTTCGATTAATGTAAGAACAGTAAAGCCTAACTAATACATCAATCTGTTGTTAAAATAATAAGAAATATAGATCATCTAATTTAAAGACGTAGGCTTTCAGATGCAATGACATCAATTAAAAGTTTACGATGGTATCAATGCCAAGTTCCTCCTGCATTGAAGGCTTAAGCTTTTAGGTGCAATGCTATTGATAAAAAATTGTCTAGTATTTTTCCATACTATATGATATTAGTTCTGTATACAAGTTGTTACAAGTTTTACTAATAACTACTTTGGCTTTGCCGCTGTCATACTTCTCCTGTATGATCTCATTCAAATAGAATATATCTGAAACATGCTGGAATTTCTTGATAGATGTAAAACTGTTGCAAGTTGCTCCTTCTACAAAATAATAGGGGAAGGTAGAAGCCTAACTGGGGTAGAGAGATTAAGAGGACTGTGAGTTGGACTTCCTACATTGCATGAAACAGAATTAGAGGAGACAATTATGCATAGTAGATGTTTGAGAACATAATGAGTAAAGAGATTTGCACTATGTTTGGTGTTGGAAAGGCTTTGCCTGCTTTAAACTAAAAAAAAAATTAAAGAAAGAAAATGAAACAAGAAAAATGAGATTTTGAAATTTACATTTCTTTGGATTAGGCTTAACAAATGAATAATCAACGAGTGAAGAACTTGTTTATTGTTATTTTATGGCAGTTCGTTTCTTAAGAAAAATGATTTTATCCAGATTTTTGGTGATAACTTACAGCTTACCGCATGATGTAAACAATTTATCTCATTCGCATTCCCTCCTGTCCTTTGAAGTGAGTGACCTGTTACACTGCTTTTCCATCTACAAATGTCCACCAAAATTTATCTAAGAACTTGTGGATAATTATTTCTGTGTTTAAAAGCGATTGAAGGGTATGGTAACTCTCAGAACGAAGTCAGTTGAAAATGTCTGCCCTACCGACGATCTTGAAAGTTTGGACAGAGTAGATGCACCTAATGCACTGTGTCTTGATTAAATATCATCTGCATGGATTTTTTTGACACAAAACCTTATGATTCAAGTCATTTTACGTAATCTTCGAATGTTCTTGAAATCACTAATGAAAATTTCTACAGGAGCTGAATGACAAAAAGAGGTTGGCAACCAGCGGAGCAAATTTCGCACGAGCATACACAGTAGAATTTGGCACATGCAAGTTCCCTGAGAACTTCACTGGCTGTCAAGATCTGGCTAAGCAAAAGGTAATAATGAACAAATTGTAGCCCTCTGATTGTTCCTGCCTTCAACCTTAATTTAATTTTTCCTGTAAGTAAATTTGGCATGCTGCTTAAACAAGTTCAGGCACTGAAACTTGTTGCATGAGAAATAATCCATTATAGACAGTCTATATCAAGCACAGGTGCCTAAAACTCTTCTCATAAATCAGTACCTAATAACTCTTGATTTTTCAATCAAGTAGAATTTTACATCATTTTCTCCATCTTACTTCTAACATACAGAAATTCCATCACAGTCTTCTGATTTGTTGTTGTTTCCATTTTTCCCTTTAACTCGGCTACAAATATAATGGCATCAAAGCATCCCTCCGGAAGCAATTCCTTCTTTACTAATGTTCTACTATATATATATATATATATATATATATATATATATATATATATATGGTATGAATCTTAGACCTACCTATGTTCTCTTTTTCTGGTTCCTACACAGTGAAAATTATTTCTTGGCAGATGTCTTAATCCTGTTTGTGTTCATAATTTTTTCTAGCATTTCAGTTATCTAATTGTACATTTGGCTAACATAAACCGTAACGCATACTAAGAGGAAAACCAGCCAAGATCATTTAATTCCCCAACTTTGAAAGACGTCTAATTTTGGCCTGCTTAATTCGTGTTTCTATTTAGCAATGATTTTTTTCATTAGAATTTTATTTGTGCTGATTTTGAAGTAGCATACTTAAAAAGGTCCATCTAGTTTTCCATGATATTTAATGTCTATGATCATTCTAGTCATATCATTCCTTGTGTTAACAACAATGCAGAAAGTACCTTTCATCACTGATGATCTGGAGATCGAGTGCGAAGGCAAGGACAAGTACAAGTGTGGATCTAACGTCTTCTGGAAATGGACCAAGTAGAACAGCTTGTAGTTCTCATTGCAGTGTGTACCCAATTACTTTCTATGAACAGCATTTATGTTCCGTCAATCTTTTTCAACTCTGATAGATGATGATATCATGATAACACCCAATTCGGCAACCCTTATAATTGGTATTATGATAACACCTAATTCCATAATTCAATTTATAATTTATCATTTATGGACATCAAATCCTTCCATTTAACAGTATCTTAGGATGCATAACCTTAACCTTAACGTTAATGATGGTTCACATGAGAAAGACTTACGGTGGATATCTAGAGATGACGCAGGACTAATGTTCAAATCAGGAATGACTTACGATGCACATCCGGAGAAGCGGAAGGACTAATAACAAGCAACAATACTTCAGGGGGTGAAACTGGCAATATGAATACTAATACTAATATTAGTAATATTGATATAAAACTTGCTAGCTTTAATGTTCTAAAATTATGCAAAACTTACTAAATTACTAGCTTGCTAGTTATATTTTTCTCTTTTATGTTGATGACAAAGGAGGAGAAGTTATAATGATATGAATTTTGGAATTATGTATGTTATGATGTACCTTGATAATTTGAAATTATGCATGAAATTCTTATGATTTTTTGCATTCAAACTTTCTTTCAATATGACATATTGATAGGGGGAGTTTAGTTTAAACTCTAACATCAATTGGTTGTCATTGTAAAAAAGAGAGAGATTGTTGAATCTCAGATTTTTTATGATGAAATCAATTGATGAAATAATGATCTAATCAGTGTTTGAGTGATGCAGGACTAGCTTCGATTATAGAAAAGCAAATCAATTAAAATGGAAAAATCAGTTAGAAGATTGGACGTTAGGTTGGAGGATTGGTCAACGTGCTGAAAGGACTTCATGCCAAGTATTGGGCTGAAGGATAGGACATTGCACCAAGGAGATCAAATATTGCGGAAGGTCAATATGCCTATTGTGTAATACGTCGAAGGAGAGGATGATGTGTTGAAGGATCGGACGAAGTGTCAGATTAACTAATGACATGTCGAATAATATAGGATTCGTGTTTATAAATGATCGTGTCTTGATCGAAGTAGGTTAGTGTTGAATCTCAAATTTTGATGATAAAACCAATTGATAAGTGTTTATGAATTGATGTGTTTTGAGTAACGTAAGATGCTTCGATCAGGATGAGACAATTAAAGCAGGAAGAATCATGTTGGATCGGTAGAACATGTCAGAAGATTGGACGTCTGGCCGGAGGATCGGATGACGTATCGATAGAAAGCTTCGAGCCATAGATTCGGGCATCAGGCCAAGAAGAGCGGATATTGCACCAAGGATATCGGAGTTGCGGAGTCAACTGATCGATTGGGCAATAGGCCACAGGAGAGGATGATGCGCTGAAAAATCGAACGAAGCATCGATGGACCAATGACATGCCGGACAACATGATTCAAGCTTAGTAATAATTATCTAGATCGAAGTGTATTTTTACATGTGCAGGATTAACTACGATAGCAAGACATAAAGCAAAATGAAGTCTTGGAGTCAAGAATGCGATTTCGTTGGGAGTTCGAGAGTTCATTGGAAATCCGGACATTCATCGGAAGTTCTGTCGGAACTGATCGAGAAGTCCAGGAGCTTGCCAAAGAAGCTCGTCGAAACTCGCCAAGAAGATTGTCGTGAAGTCTAGGAGCTTGCCGGGAGTCCGTTGGAACATTACCGAGAGATTGTCGAAAGTTCTCTTGAAGATCGCCGGAAGCTCGCCGGAAGAAACCTAGACTTAATGGACTTGTTTAGTTTAGGAAATGTCTTAGATTTCGTATTTAGCACATAATTGGGATTGAAATTGGGCCAACCCAATTAGGGGCCAGTTGGGCCCATGTAAAGACTGTGTTGGGCCCAATGAAAGGCCCAAACAGTGGCCTAATAAGTGGCACCGTCATGACATAGTCCCCGAGATTGTGTCAGGCGATGGTACTACCCAGTGTAGTGTTAGTGTCAAACTAACACTAGCGGTGGTACCGCTCGAACCCAAGAAACCCAAGATGAGATATTTTTAGGCTCCAAGTTTGAATCAACATGAGACCTATAAATACCTCTCTCATCCCTGGTTAATATATACAAGTATAAAGAGTTTAAAAGTGAAGAAACGCTATTGCAATCACTTAAGAAATCCCCTCCTCTAGTCTAAGTTTAGAATTCTATTTAGGAGGAGTGAGTGCTTATAAAGGTTGTCTCCTAAACCTATGAAAAGGAGAAGAGGGGTGCATAAGGTAGTTGGTCTTTGCCTATTGAAGGAAGACCGATAGTGGATGCCGATGGCCTCGACGGAAGAGGAATCGATGGAGTGGATGTAGGTCACGATGACCAAACCACTATAAAATTGGCATGTTCACTGGTTTGCATTTCTATTGTTGCCATTTACTTTACTGTAAACCATTTTACTTGTTTACTACCTTCAATACATTTACAAATACGTGTTTCAAGTTAAGTTTCTGAAATCGGTTTTTATCGTACAAAAGAATTTTTCGAAACCAATATATTTTATCGTTGCACTAATTCACCCCCCCTCTTAGTGCCGACTCGTTCCTGATAGTTGGTATCAGAGCCTCATTTTTCTCATTTGGTTTAACACCTAAGAGAAATGGCTCTTTTCGGCTTTCTAGAGGGACTTTCTCTCATTCGTCCTCCCTTGTTCAATGGGATGAACTATACATATTGGAAAACTCGAATGAAAGTTTTCTTGCTTTCTTTGGATTTAAATTTATGGAGTATTATGGAAAATGATTTTCGAATGTCTTCTCTTCCAATGAACCATTGGAATGATTTGGAGAAGAAGACGTTTTCTTTAAATACTAGAGATATGAATGCTCTATTTTGCGCCTTAGACAAAACTGAGTTTAATCAGGTTTCTACTTGCGAAACAACCTTTGACATTTGGCATACTCTTGAAATCACACATGAAGGCACTAGCAAAGTTAAAGATTCAAAAATTAACTTTTTAATGCATGATTTTGAGTTGTTTCGTATAGAACCAAGGGAGACTATTAGAGACATGTACACTAGTTTTACAGATGTCGTCAATAGTCTAAAAGGACTTAGTAAAAGCTTTTCGAATTTTGAACTTGTTAACAAAATTTTACGATCACTTTTTAAAAATTGAGATTCGAAAGTAATAGCAATACTGTTAGGATCGGAGCGGCACTAGGGGGGGTGAATTAGTGTAACGGATTAAAACTCATAAGTTTGAAAATGATTTCGTAAATGCATAGAGATTTCAATTCGATAAAGAATGATTTAATAAAAGTAGCTTGAGTAAAGTAAGGAAATGAAATCCAAAAGCTTGCTGCTATGTAAATAATGGTTTCAGAAAACACTCACACATTCAAGGAACACACCAATTTAAAGTGGTTTGGTCAAATGACCTACATCCACTTGCGAAGCCTTCTTCGATGAGGCTCCTAATTTCCACTAGTAAATCACTTTGAAGGGAAAGGACAAATGCCCCTCTTATAACCTTTTACAAGTGGTTCACACTCTTACATATTTTCAAGGAGAAAGAGGGAGGTGAACACTTAAGCTATTGAAAATAAGACTTGCTAAAGACTTTGCTAAGGCTTTATCTCAATCTCTAACTTCTTAAAGATTGTATTCTCTATTGAGAATTGAGAGGTATTTATAGACTCCAAGAGAATTCAAATTTGGGCTCCAAATTTTGAATTCCTCTTAGATTCCTGGAGCTGGCGGTGACACCGCTTGTCAATGTCACATAGACTGTTTTACTAGCGGTGCCACCGCCCATCCTTTCGGGTGTTGGGCGGTGCCACCACCCAGTCCAGCGGTACCACCGCCTGATCCATCGGGTTCTGGGCGGTGCTACCGCCCAGTCCGGTGGTACTACCGCCCGATCCTTTGGGTTCTGGGTGGTGCCACCGCCAAGTCCAGCGGTGCCACCGCCCAACCTTAGGGGTCACTGGTTGGGCTTCAAATCTGGCCCAAACCAGGTCATATTCGGGCCCAGTTGACCCCTAACTAGGATATAGGATTATTTCTTAATCCTAACCCTAATTACATGCAAACTACGAAAATAAGACATAATCCTAAGCAGATCTGTTAACCGGCAACATCAAGTTTCCTTTCGGTGAGCTTTCCGTGTTAGGATCAAGAGCACCAAGAAGGGGGGGGGGTGTGAATTAGTGCAGCGGAAATCTTTCACTATTAAAATCGAAAGCTGCGTTCGTTTGATAAAAATGATTTCGATGTAAAAGCCGATTCTAAGATTACTTTAACTTAAGATTAAGCGAGATGATGTTAAAGTAAATCTACGAAGGCAGTTTGTAGTTTATGATGAAAATCAGAATGCAAGCGCAAACTGAAATGCGACGTTCGTACGATAAAACCGGTTTACGTCTAAATGCCGATTTTGAAGATACTGAACTTTGAGATACGTTTTATAAATGCGCAGAAGGCAGTTTGCAGTTATGATTGAAATCAAAACGTAAACGTAAACTGAAATGTAATGATCGTACGAAAAAGCCGATTTACGTCTAAACACAGATTCGGAAAGCTCTGAACTTAGAAACTCGTTCGTAAAAGCGCAGATGACAGTAGCTATTTAGGAGGTTTGCAGTAAAGATAAAATGCTCAAAGTAAATGCAAACCGAGATTTAGAGTGGTTCGGTCAATCTTGACCTACTCCACTTTTGGCTTCCTCCACCGACGAGGTCACCGACGTCAACTAGAGGCCTTCCTTCAATAGGCGAAGGCCAACCACCCTTTTACAGTGTCACTCCTTTTGACGGGCTTAGGAGACAACCCTTACAGAAATTTTCTCTCCTCTCTTTACAACTCAAAACTTTGAAGAACAGAGGGAGGAGAACTTTTGGCCTTTACAACAATTTTGAGCTCTAAGAATCACAGAAAAAGATCAAGATTTCGAGTGTAAGTTGTGCTCTTTCAGTTCTGAATGGGTGGGGTATTTATAGGCCCCAACCCAGTTCAAATTTGGAGCTCAGAACTGTCAATTCCCGGAATTCCGGGATCAGGCGGTTGCACCTCCTGACTGGGGCGGTTGCACCGCCTGGCAGAGCTCGAAGACTGAGCCTCTGGGCGGTGCCACCTCTGTCAGGGG